AAATAAATCTCACATGTATAAACATCATATTGTCTCCCTAGTATAAGAACCTGAAAGAGTAAATGAAATATAAAAGGTACAACAGATAGTGAGAAAAGGAAAAAAACTGCTGAAAAGGAAAGGACAACTGAGATGGGGGAAAGGAGAAAATAAAGAAGGGAAAATACACACACACACACACACACACACACATACACACACACACATACATGCATACATACACCTGCATATAAATGATGCCCTGGATAACTGTATTATTAATTTCTATTGCTTTCTTGAAAGGAACCTTTGATATTTAGTTGATCATTCTTGAATGTCTGTATTTATCGGAGTAACCAATATGAAGATAACAGTATATAATACAGCAACCACTGTTCATTTCTTTTCACCTCATCTGAAATTCTGTATTGATTTTATGTTGTTTCATTTATGTCTGTTGTTTGTTAATATGTCTTGGTTCTTTTATCTTTAAAAATAAAATTTAAAAAAATAAATCTTTCATCAACAATTCCTATACTAGATATAAATATTAATTTTAAAAATGTTTTATAGGAATTAAAACTGTAGGACTTACCATCATAAACAAAGTAAGTTTCATCTTTGAAAACAAGCACAGCAGGCATCTCTTTAAGTGTCACATACTGCAAAACATGAGTTTAAATTTTAACACTAAAAATTGGTAGCTATGATTTTAAAAGTACTGAAAGATACCCAAAACATACACACATGAGCAAATAAAAAAAAAAAAAAACACTTACAAATCCCGAAGACTGGATCTAAATATCATATACATTCCCTGACACAATGTCCTATTTGTCATGGCAAAAACCACTGATTACTTTTAGAGCTGCTAACAGATCCAAAGGTAACATCATGGGAAGTAAAGGATGAATGGACTCTGGAGTGAGAACAACAAAGCTGTGTCAGGTGGCTTGTTTGGAGTTGACCCTTCCTATCCCTCACTGACTGTGGGACAAAGAGCTTTACCTAAAGGAGTCTGCTTCCCCCTCTGCACAATAAGGACATTAAACCCACTTACCTTACAGGGAAACTGTAAAGTATTTTATGTAAGAAGGGAGAGTGCTAAATTTAAATTATAAACTGCTTTTTCAGTAACAAAATTTTTCAATAACAAAATTTCAATTAATTGGTCATTAATAATAAGGGATTTATTCAGAAAGCACCTGTTTTTTATAGACATGTTATACTTATTTCAAAAGAATAAAATTATAGTTAGTTTCAGAGCAGAAGACAAATCACTTGAGTAAGCCACTAAAAATTATCACATAAACATGGGAATAATGAAAATAACAAATAAAGGGAAGCAAAGAGATCTCAGGACAGAGAAGAAAATACAAAGTTATTTCATTACATTCCTACAAAAAGACTTATCAGCATCAAAAAAACCATGTGAAGGCAATCAGAAAGGCCTGAGGTAAGGCTCTATGCCCTCATTCACCTGCTCTTGTCAACTCCTTCACAATGACGCCTGGAAAATATTTTCCAACATTCAGCATGTCTCACTTTTAAAGATACCCTCGAGTGGCCCTAACACCCTTAAAATAGTCTGAAAACATGGAGCCACATGGCTCTACAACAGTCTCAATCTTCCTTTTCTCCTTTCTCTTCTGTGTTCCTTAAACTGTTACATTAGGTCTCTATATGCCATTCTTCTCCAGCCATCTAAATAGTTGTTGTAAAGCTAATGAATCTCTGAATAACAAAACACTAATAATTAAGACACCTCACTGTCATATGAAGATAAGACAGTGTCAGCACTCCAACCTGAGCAAACGCCAGGTGTATTCCAAGTGAAACTCCTTGCAAGGCTTTGCAGATGAGGGTCAGCCCAGTATAAAGTTTCACCTCTAATATTAAAATGTGGTACACTGGTTATGAGAGGTACAGTATTAGAAGTTCTGGATGTAGTCCACTTTAGGCCTTAGATACATGTCAGCATTTCCTAACAGAGGTCTATAACCTTTCAGGGCACCTGTCTGAGAATCTGACAGCAAGCAAGGCCTAACTTCCAGGACATCTTTCCATCCTTGCCTAAAGTAAATATACAGACATAAGTTACTCTGCAAAATAACTTCTCTTAGACCAAACCAAGTAACCCAAAATGGGTTTAAACTGAACAAAAATTTACAATTGTCTGAGGTTTCTAAACCTCAGTTTAAAATGAGTGTAAAATTGTGTCAGAATAAAATTTATATAAAAATACCTATATGGATATATTCTAAATATGTCTATAATCATAATATATGCAAACATTAAAAATCTAGGAATCTTTTCACTTTGTTGATGGTTTGTCTTGCTGTGTAAAAGCTTTTTAGTAAGAGCTCCCAGTTGTTCTTTGTGATAGTTCCTGTGCAACTGGCGTATTGTTCGTGAAGTCTTTGCTTACACCAGTGTCTTCAAGAGATCTACCTATTCTATCATCCAGCAGATTTACTGTTTCTGCTTTACTATTTAAATCTGTGATCCATTTTGATTTTAGTGTAGTACATGATGAAAGATATGAGTCTAGTTTTAATCGTCAGCATGCAGAAAACCAGTTTTCCAGCACCACTCATAAAAGAGGCTATCTTTCTTCCAGTGAAGGTGCTTGGCTTCTTTGTCAAAGAACAGGTGGCTGAGTATGTCCAGGGTTGTTTCTCCATCTTCTAATCTGTCCCACTGATCCCCCAGTAGGTTGCTTGTTTTTCAGGGTTTTTTTTTTTTGTTTTTGCTTTTTGCTATTACCACGTTGTTTTCATCATAGTAGCTTTGTAGAAAGTAGTTTCAGATCAGGGATTGCAATGTTCCCTGCCTTGCCTTTGTTGCCCAGAATTGTTTCTGCTATTCTAGGTCTCTTCTGGTTCCAAATCAATTTCAGGATTGTTTCCTCTAATTCTGTGAGATATGATGTTGGAATTTTGATTGGGATTGCATTAAATCTGTGTACCAATTTTGGAAGTATGGTTATTTTCACTACATTGGTTCTTCCTATCCAAGAACAAAGCATTGCCAGGTGTTCCTCAGACAAAGGACTAATATCTAGAATATACAAAGAACACACAAAAAAATCAGAGCTCCCAAATTTAAGATCCAATCCAAAATGGGCATCTGAAAACTTCTCAAAAGAAAAAGTGGAAATGACAAATAAATATAGTTTTAAAAAATGTTCAACAGCACTGGTTATTTGAGAGATGCAAATAAAAACAACAACTGAGATTCCATCTCCTCCAGAAAGAATGGCTATTTTTAAGAAATCAACCAGTAACAAATACTGGCAGGGCTGAGGGGAAAAAGGAACCCCTCTCCACCATTGGTGGGAGCGTGGACTGGCACAACAACTATGGAAATCAGTGTAGAATCCTCAAAAACTAAAACTAGAGGTTCCACTTGACCCAGCTATTTCTCTTCTTAGTATCTTCCCGAACAAATTAAAAGCATGATACAGTGATATATACACACCCATATTTATAGCAGCACAGTTTGTAATAGCTAAATCTTGGAAACATTCCAAATGCACATCAACCAAGGGATGGGTAAAAAAGTGTAGATTTTTCATATAATGGAGCGCTACTCAGCCATAAAGAAGGAAAAACATGAGAGACATTTCTAGGTAAATGGATGTACTCTGAGACCATACTTAAGTGATATAAAATGGACATGTGTAAATACCACACTGTTTCACTAGTATGAGAAACCAAAACTGTTCATAAGGACCAAAATGTATAATAGATACTGGGAAATAAGAAAATGTTCAAATGGGAAGGAGAACCAGATAGGGGGAAAGGTGAAGGAGGAAAGGAAGAAAAAAGAAAACCAATGAGAAAAGAAAAAAATAGAAACAAAGCTTTCGTAAATAAGGAGGGGAAGAGCGGTTGAAAGGAGGGTATGGGAATGGGAATAAAAAAAGAAACAAGGTATATCATGTGCAGTTACAAATTCCCTATGATAAATGTAATCATTATGTGTACCTAAAATGTATGAATAAACTTAATTTTTAAAAAAATCTAGGAACAGATATGTAATAGGACTTAACATTTAAATTTGTGGAAAAAAAATTCCATTTTTATAATATGAACCAATTAAAAAATTTAAAAAAGCTCCCTTGATTTCCTTTGAGTTACTGTCACATTTGTCAGGTCCCCTTTCTCCTTAGAAGTCTATATTTGTAGTCTCTACATTTACCTTCCTCCCACTGCTGTTTCTCAGGTGACATCATAAGAAATTGGTCCCTATTTCTTACCTCAAAAACACCACCAACCTCCAGGTGGACAAACATCAAATTACTTTTCCTCACCTTGAGGACTTCATAAACATGATACAACTGGCCATTCTTTTTTTTTTTTTTTTT